TGACTTATTATGGGTTGGGCCATATCAGTGCATATACAGTAATTGCCTTCAATGTAATGTCTCCTCCTTCTTGGCTAACCCTCTAACAGCCCCACACTTCAAACAGGGAGCTGTACTCTGATTAATGGGACAAGTGATGTCACTTGGTTTCATGAAGTGATGTCCCAGGTGATGAAATCTTAATTTAACTAAAGCTTGTGTCATACAAGAGGTATGAGGCTGTTTCATCTTTGCTCTGGCACCTTCTGAAAATGTGTCCTTTCAGGTGACAGTGTCTGTAGTCCTGCCAAGCCTCACAGCCAGCTTCTACCTAATCACAGTTGTTCCCTAGTCCATACTGCAGAGGGTCCTTGAAGGAAAACCTTGAAATATTTGTGTCAAACAATGGCATAAAGATATTTCATCCCAAATATGATGGGCTTCTTGGCAACTCCTACCGAGACGCAGCACACTGGTTCAGCTCACATTCTTGCCAAGTGTTCGGCAATTTCCCTATAACCCAGCACCATATCAGTTAAATTCTGCTACATTCAGTCAGTGTCAGAAGGAACCAATGACAGTGCCAGACCAGTTTAGAACTGATCTGGTAATTCTCGAGAGCTTTAATCGATGTCTGTCTGTCTGACAGAATACAGACATTCCTATTTTTATAGCGCCTATCTATATTCTTTGCTGCAGATGCCTTAGCGGCATTTACTTCTGCCTGGAAAGCTATGGCGTACTGTAAAAGTCTGAAGTTGTATATCCAAGGCTGGCAATGAAGTGCACACTCAAATTATGATACAAACAAAGTACCACCAGTTATCAGTCATGTGATGCATGCTTTTATCAATGCATGTTCTGATTCAGTGGACCCCTGGAGGCAAAGCATCACATTATTTACACAATACAAATCCCATTACAGCTACACAGGAGACTTAAACTTCCTATTCCTGCATGATACAGGTTAAACTACATGCAGTAGTTTTCCTTGAGTTTCACTGAGTGCACTTTATATTAAAATGTTATGTATCTGAATAAGAATTACATTTTATGCAGTGTCATGGCTCAAGCATCTAAGTCCCTTACCACCCTGCCATCTCTTAAGCAGCTATCTGACCATACTGGCTTCTTAATCTTATTCTATTCCAGATACATGGTACCCCAAAAGTCAGTTAACTGGTTAGTAAAATGTATACTAAAATATGTTAGAACTGTTTTTATTAATTAATGAACTTACAAAAAATTGTTTGAATTGAGATCCTCCATGTTCAGTGCACAGTTCACAATCCTGTAATACCGTCCTACAAACTGACTAGTAAATGTAAATCCAAGTTGCCAGAAAGGCAATCAGGGACTGGACAAACATGAAGCACAAGAAATACTGGGGATCCTTGACTGGACTCAGGCAAGCAAAGGGACTCATACGAGGACCCTCTACTAAAAGAACAAAGGAACTGTTGCAGATAAACAGGAACCAGCTACGATCGGCAGTGGGACTACTTACAGGACACTGTCACCTTAAAGGACACCTCTTCAAACTGGGACTAAGTGATAGTCCCACTTGTGAGAGGTGTCAAGAAGAAATGAAACAGCCACACATATCCTGCATGAATGTGAGGCCTCAGCTTATTTAAAATTACATCACTTGGGTCAATACTTTATGGAACCAAGTGACTATTTTGACGCCCCCACATACAAATCCTGCGCTTCATTTGAAGCGCAGGGTTGTTGAGGGGATAATCAAAAGGGGAGGCACAATAGATCACTGCAGTTGCGGTGCAAGGTCTGAGAAGGCCTTCCAGGACATTCCAGTCAATATGACAATGTTTTAGGTTACCGACTTCTGGGCCACTCTGTACTGATGTGAAGATGTACAGATTAATATGATATCTAAACAATAGTGGGGGGACTGGATACTTGATATTTACAACTTTTTGACATATTCGAAAGCACAGAAACGCATGTAGGGAATATCTGGCTGCCCTCAAGTTTCCTGTCACTGGCAGCCAGGCACCTGCTCATGCATACTAATTCTGCACAACAAATTGGTTTTACTTAGAAATTTCATACAACTATCTGAGCTCTGGAAGCCTGAATAGCTCAATCAGCACAGCAGCTGTGCTGAAGGCTAAACATACCACAGGAATGAGATTCAATTTTTGACAAGGGTAAGAAATTCCTCTTTACTTGATAGCACCCAGGATGGTTCCAGAGCCCATCCCTTCCTGAGGATCTTTCCCTGGAGGTAAAGCAGCCTGGACATGACGTTGACCACTCACCTCCATCTAGTGATATGGTTAAGAAGCAAACAGTCATATCTCCACTCTTTCATCTGTCTTTACGGCACTGTGCTTAATTAAGCAAAGGGACAACTTTAACTTTTACTTTACTGGAGTTTATTTAAAATAAGGATTATGCGGACCAATCCAGATCAAATTTTAATTTGACCAGTACTAAATTTCATAGAAATTTGTCAAGTAGATGGAGAAAGTAAACAAATGAAAACGATCTTGTTGTGTCGTCTATTTCAAATACTTCATACAAAATTGTGCAATTCTTACTTACATGACTGTCCTCATGTTTGAGGAGTGTTGAAAGGGCCTCCACACACGTGGGGAGGGAGGGGTCTTGTGGCTCCATCTTAGTGCACAATCGAGAAACGACAGCCATGGCAGAGTGAAGGGTGTCCTTGTGCACTCGACAACCATTCTCACGAATAAATGAGAGCACACAGTTGAGTCCACCTGCCTCAAAAACTGCTCCGGCCTCTCGAGTGCAGATCAGTTCTAAAACCTGCAAAGCAAAAATGAATTTCCCGAACTTCATACCCAAGTCTTTTCTTAGTTAATTTCAAACTCCTTATTCTGGGAGCACAGACATCTCCTCCCACTCAATTTCATTCAGTCCTGATATTAACATTTTTGGTTTACCATCAAGTGGAACAAGGAGAAGCGATGCTATACATTCAGCTTTCATTTTTGGCATGATTGCAACAAAAAGTTGTAAAAATGCAGCCATCACCTTGACATACCTTTCCTTCGGTTTCTTTCCACATGTAGTAACTCGGGAAGAATTGAGACTATTTTCATGAAGTCTGACACAGAAATGTTTCATTAAAATTTGTCTACGTATTCTAATTTTGACTAAAACTGGACAAGCACAATGGATGCTTTACACGAACCTCTGCACGTGTTTCTGAAAGCATCTCAAACATTAACTTGCAAAATATTTATTGCAGCAAACAAGGCTTCAAACACTTTGTACCTTAATGCACTGTTCTGCGAGATCCTTGCTTGTACGAGATGCCAATTCTGCAACCACTAGTCTATTGCAAATAGCCTTCACAGCACCATCCATAGCAATTATTCTGCGCGTGCATTCTGCTGAAACATCTAGGTAGTATGTGATTGCTCGTGCCGTCACCTCCAGTACGTTGTCGGGAGCACACTCATCCAGGAAGATTCGGCACAAAGCGGGCAGAAATGTTCGCGGGGGGCAACTGTAACAAAATATGACAATCTTCCTGAGTCTTATACCTGATCTGGCTTACCAACCTAACACAGAAGCGAAGGATACAAACGACTGAAATGTGTAAGTTTTGAGGTTTTCACGGCAATGAATATGAAGAAAGTCGTCTTCTGGGTTTAGGGGCCGTGTATTCTTCGTTTTGGCCGACGTTTCGGAGGAACGTATCGCCTCCATCTTCCAAAACGAAGAATACACGGCACCTAAACCCAGAAGACGATTTTCTTCATCGAATGAAATGAGGTCCAAATAAACTTTACACAGTGGTATAAATAGGAGGGCGAAATTAAGCTCTGTGATTTTCATCATGGTGACTGTTCTGATTAAAGTCGTTTGGGTTGTAACATTTTCTAGTATTGTAGATGGTTACCAACATTTTGAAGCCGAAGCTGCATCCATCTTCAGTGTCAAAATGGTGATAACACAGTGTACAGGGGCAGGACGCAAGGTGGTGGTCATTAAGATACAAAAAAGTGAGGACAAAACCATGCCAAGGCAATGATGTACAGTAGATGGGGTATGTTAAATGTTCCTAGTGACAATTAACATTAGAGATCTGTAAAGGG